ACTTTCTTTTTTCGGAATAATTTCAAAAATCGACAAGCGTCCAAAAAACGACAATGAAGAAATTTTCCAATAAAAATAACTAAACATGATATGTTATTAATATGGTGTATTTCTTTTTTCTTTTATGTTTTCATCATACATAGTTACTTTGATCTATGAGCAAAACATTTTCGAAAATGCAAACCTCCCCCCACCCATGGGGGGTAGTTTTGCCAAATGTTCCGGATCACCACCAACATTTTTATGGAATATCAATTAGGCTAAGACAAACCTCAGGTTAAAATCTTATTCAAATCTGTTCATAACTTTTCGAGTTAGAAAAAAAATCCTGCATCCGAACCATGATCCGCATCACCACCACACTGCAATAAGCGTCTAAGTTAGGTTAAAACCCACCTTTGGTTAAAATCTCGTAAAAATGTGTTCATAACTTTAGAAATATTAAAAAACAAACTAACAAACAAAAAATCAACAAATAAACAAACCAAAGAAACAAACGGAAAGTAACAATATAAATAAACAAAAGGTCATGGGGTACACGATAATGATCTATATGTGCTCATATACTTTATATACATACTTTCACATCGCCATGTAATTGTTTTTCGTCTTTCCACGGGGTCTGAGAGTGAAATTTGGCTACGTGACCCCGTAGAGTTATTCCGCAGATTTAAAAAAAGACGATTTTCATGGTCCAGGACGGCCCGGCGCGCGGGGAAAAGTATGCGTTTGGTAGCCGTCCGACTGGAGAAAAAGTTATAATTTCGACAAATATTATTCGTTGTTAAAACCCCATTAGAGCATCAAGAACAGGTAAATGATAGATAATTATACCAATATTAATATTCTGTACATGATTTGTCATGTAAAATGTAAACATGATAAAAGGAATAAGATCGCGATTATTTAGGTCCGTCATATTTTTACGCATAACACACGTATTTTTGGTCCGATTTTAAAGTATTATGGCTCATTTTGTAGCTGAATAATAGTTCTATTACATACTGCCATGAGGATTTGCAATATTTTCATGTGGTTCTTGTAAAAGTGACATATGTTTTAAAAATCTCCTATTAGGGTGTTAAAATAGTCACACTTCGAAAATAGTCACCAAAGAAAAAAGTAAGGTCAACTTCTGCATATAATAGTAGACAGATAGTTTATATTCAAACATAAAATCAGAAGGGCTGTATGATTTTTGGGGGATTTTTGAATTTTTAAAAATGGTCAATGCAGGCCTATAGACCCCCCAGATCACTGCCACCACTCCACACTATACATAAGATATGAGAAACCATTACGTGCTGGCAATGTCTGCAAGACTTCGGAATGCAGGTATATGATAGAGGATTATGGTGTAGGAAGACTAATCTTATACCTTGTTTTGTTAATATCAAATAGCCTTGGAAAGATGAAGAAACGTAAAATGCCGATATCTCAGAACTCCACCTTTAGGGGGGTCAAAGGATTCCGGGCACAACATATGTCCAAATTAACAAATTATGGCTCATTTTGTAGAAAAATAAAATATCTGCAACTTTTATTTTTGCCTGTACTTCTTGTAAAAGTGGTCAATGTAAGAAAATTTTTACCTTTTTTTTTCTTGAAGTCCGCCTACTTCAAAATTCACACAAAAAAATTGGTCGAAATCAAAAAAACGCTCTCGAACAAGTTGTAGATATAAGGTAGTTCAAAAAATCAAATAAAATTGAATGTCTTGCCATTTCTGAAGTCGGAATCCTTCTACCCAGGTGCTGCATTTTCAACATGGCGACTTTCGCATTTTTTCGTTTTTTGACAATAATTCAAAAACTGTTCGGGCGATTTCGAAAAAAAATCGACCACAGGCAATGGGAAGGGGCCCAAATAAGAGGGTGTGAGTTTCATCAAAATCAGCAAGAAAAATCGAAAAAATCGAAAAAAAAGCAGACCGTCCTCTTAAGTGTGAGTCTGCAGCATATAACCACACAGAAGAACAATACTCAAAATGAGGCAGAATGAAAGAAAAGAAGCACCTACGTGTAATGTTGCCACTTCATAGATTTTCTTGCACTTGCAAATGATGCCTAACTTTGATGAAATTGCCCGAGCCATATTCCTAATATGCAATTCAAATGTAAGCTTTGAATCAAAGGTTACACCTAAGAGCTTCAAGTTATCCACCGAAGTGATTAAGACTCCATTAATCAGCAGACTTGGATGCTGAGGCAACTGCGTTCGAGACCGACTCACAAATTCATTTCTTTAGGCTTAGTAGGATTTAATTTCATGCCCCACCGAGAGCACCACCATTGAATCATCATCAGGTCTACAGTGAGACTGTCAGCTACTATTTGCCTAGTTGCCGGAGAAGGAATATCAGCATAGAGAGAAATATCATCAGCATATACCAACATTTTATTAGTAATGCCAGACCATATATCACTTGTATACATGATAAAGAGCAAAGGGCCAAGAACACTACCCTGAGGAACCCCAGAAGATACATGAGAATACGAGCTGAAACTACCATCAACATGAACGCGCTGCTGCCTACCAGTTAAAAATTCAGTTAAAATACTTAAAACTTTACCACATACACCAAAAGACTGTAACTTAAAAATTAAACCCTTGTGATTAACAGTGTCAAAAGCTGCACTAAAATCCAGCGAGACAAGTCTTAACTCATGACCCTTATCTAAAGCAGACTGCATTTCATGCACCAACATAAGTAGTGCATCATTGCAGCCGAGTCCTTTCTAAAACCAAACTGAGTCTCTGGAAGAAATGGTCTCAAATGTACAGAAAGACGTTTGACCAGCAAACGTTCAAAAACCTTGGATAAAATTTTTGTAATTGAAATGGGCCTATATTCAGTAGGTGAAGACTGTAGTGGGCCCTTGGGAATAGGGGTAACATTACCAAAGCGCCAGCAATCTGGAAATGACCCTTTACGAACTAAAAGGCGTAAGATTACGGCTAATTTAGGAGCTAATTGGCCATTTAGTCTTTTTAAAATCAAAGGAAACAAGCCATTAGGGTCTGTCTACTCCACCATATTCATCTACTTCAGATAACAGATACTTGATTTCAGAGGACCTGAAAGCAAATGAATTAAATCATGGCAATGGGTGACATGAAGGAGGAAATTCAATATCATCTAAACTTTGTTTTGAAATAAAACAATCTGCTAACAAGGTAGCTTTCTCAAATGGACCATACGTAACACTACATCAGGTTCATTAAAGGAGGAATGGAAGACTCAAGACCAAACAGAGATATTTTAAGTGTTGACCACCATTTATGCGGCTGTGAGGCTTGTGAGAGAACTTTCAAGTGAGCATTATATTCAGATTTAGCCTCCTTATAAACATTAGTTGCTGTATTTCGCATGGCAACATAATTCTCCCAACAAAGACGAGTACGGTTAGCAGACCAGAGATTGTAGGCAGCATGTTTGTCCCTATCAGCCTGGTGACACCGTTCATTAAACCATGCTTTATCATGTGAACGAGATTTCAGAGTTTTGGTGGGTACAAACTTTGTTATGATGTCCAATAATAACAAATTAAAAGCTTTAACAGGACAAGGAGCATTGTAAACATTTCGCCAAACAATGCTATTAAAAGCATGGTAGACACCATTCCAGTTAATTCTAGATTTTACGAAGACTTGTCTAGTTAGCGTAATATCTGGCATAGGGAAGTCCAGCTGGATCTTACATGCTAGCAAAGATCCAAAGTTGCACACTCTGTGAGTTGCACCACGGACTAACTGCTCACACCCAACCACATCTGCAAAATCTAATGCAGAAATGCCATGTCGGTCCGTTGGGGACACAGAATTAAGCCAGTATCGGTGGTGAGCATTAAAATCACCTATAAATATAAAACAAGATTTAATATCATTCTCTTGAATATAAATGTACGAAGTCAACAAACAATCATAAATACTGTCCTCAGAGTTGGGACTTCTATAAAGACTAAAAATGTAAAAATTATTAAAACGACTACACACTCTCACAACCATGTATTCGTGACAACCACGTTCATACTTTGTAAAACGACTAGCATTAA